AATCCGGCGCCTCAGGTTGGGGAGTGGGTGCTGGCACAGACTGCGCTGAGCTCTCATTGAACCTGTCCGCAGGTCTCCACCAGCTCCTGGCCGGGTTTGAGGACAAGTCAGCCTATGCGCTCTGCACATTCGCTTTGAGCACTGGCGACCCGAGTGAACCAGTGCGCCTGTTCAGGGGCCGGACTTCGGTGCGTACCCATGCTGACTCCTCCACCTGCCACCAGAGGGCGCTGCGACTCCAGCCAGCGGCCCAGGGCCTTCTGCTGGGAGGGCACCCAGGCCATAGTTAGTTCCCAGGACCTTGCCCAGATCTGCCCCTGGGCACCACAAGTAGAAGTGCTGTCAATCCTGAAGTCTGTGTGACCCCCTCAGGCTGCTGTTTGAGGGGAACACACAATGGCTCACAACTTTTGAGGCACCGTGCACCTAGAGCTCTGCACTATATGCCTTCCTGAGAAGCAGATATAGAAATAAGAACACAACTCCCAGAGCTACATCTACATCTCAGACTTCTCCAAGTTCTAGTCCCCTTATTCAACTACTGAGGCTTCCCTTGAATATCTCACAGCTTTTCCAACTTTTCATGTTCATATGGAACCTTCCCCCAACTCATTCCTTCCCCAGCTGCCCTTTAACACTTACCTGTGAGGTTCAGCTGCTTCTCACAGGGCCCACACCACCCTCTGAGCTGGCTGCCCCTGGCCCATATATTCCCACTTTATGGCAAGAGTGTGCCTTCTGGCATTTCAGTCCTCTGCTGTATCGCTTCTGCTCAGGATAAAATCCAAGAGTCCCACTGTAGCCCACAAAACCCTATCCCACAGAGAGCCACTAGGGGCCGACCACAGAGGTGTCGTGTTACCCTGCCTGGTTAGATGTGTGTGGTAAAAAAGACATAACAAATTGCCATCTTCACCATTTTTAAGTGTACAGTACAGTAGCGTTAATGATGTGCACACTATTGTGCAGCAGATCTCTAGAATGTTTTCGTCTTACAAAATTGAGACTATACTCATAGAACAACTCCCCTTTTCCCCCTCCCCCAGCCCCTGGCAACTCAGTTTCTAAGTTTGACAACTTCAGACACCTTATATAAGTGGAATTGTCTTTTTTGTGGCTGGTTGATTTTACTTACTATGATGTCTTCGAGGATCATCCATGTTGTAGCATAGAATTTGATTAGTTTTTAAGACTGAATAATATTCTATTGTATGTATATGCCACATTTTCTTTATCCATTTATCAGTTGAGGGACATTTATTGCTTCCACATTTTGGCTATTGTGAATGATACTGCTACGAACATGGGAATGTTCTCTCAATCAGAAGTTTGAACAACCACAGACCCTGTTGACTGGGCCAGGTTACTGCAGTCCCCACCATTTCCTATTGTCTCCCCAGCTTTGGCTGCTTCATGCACTTTGTTGTTTCCCAGCCCCCATTTTACCCAGGGTGTCCCTGTCTCTTCATGTTCTCACCTGAGGTCTCTGAACCCAATCACAATGTCCTTTCAGCAGTGCCCTTCCCCATCTCAGGGACTTTGGCATTAGCTGTATCCTCCCCCTGAAATGTTCTTTTTTAAATTTATTTTTATTTTAGAAAGAGGAAGGGCGAGAGAGAGAAACATTGATTGGTTGCCTCCAGTACTCACCCTGACTAGGGATCAAACCTGCAACCTGGGCATGTTTCCTGACCAGGAATCAAACCCATGACCTTTTGGTGCATGGACAACGTTCCACCTAACTGAGCCACACCGGCCAGGGCTGCCTGGAATGCTCTTGCTCCATCCCTGAGGCCTTCCCAAGTCATTCCATCCTGTTCTTGAGTTCTGCTCCCTGTTTGTTCCCTTTAAGGCACTTGGCATTTGGTAATTTGTTTACTAGTTTGATGCCTGTTTTCTTAAGATCCGTTCTGTGAGGGCGAGGCAAGGCCTGCTGTAACCCCAGTGCTGACAACACTACCTGCCTCACTGCAGATGTTCAAAAAACATGCTACTTGGGTGTGGTTCAGAGTAGTTCAGTAACTGGCCTCAGTCTCCCTATTAGCAGAAGCAGAATTTGTTTTTGGTCTGAATGACTTATGTTGCTAATCCCCATCCTCTACTACCTCTCTTATTTAAATTAGGTTTTTTCTTTTATTACTTTCATGGCAGCATGACATTTCTTCTTTTTTTTTTAATGTCTGTTGATTTCAGAGAGGAAGGGAGAGAGAGAGAGAAAAACATCAATGATGAGAGAGTCATTGATTGGCTGCCTCCTACACGCCCCCGACTGGGGATCGAGCTCACAACCTGGGCATGTGCGGTGACTGGGAATCAAACTGCGATCTCCTGGATCCTAGGTCGATGTTCAGCCACTGAGCCACGCCCTACCAGGCAACATGACATTTCTTGACACCAGGCTACAATTTTTTTCTCTGTAACATTTTTCTGTTGGGATTTGCCTCTTACAGCCAGTATTTATTGAGCTCATTTATATGTTGAACGTTGTGCTAAGTAATTTCTATTATGTTATTTCACTTAATTGTTAGAGCCTTCCTTGCATTTTGAGAAATGCAGTAATAGTAGCAGGCATAGGGTTTGTCTGCAAAGTTCAGGGCCCTTAATTTCCTATTAGGAGAAAATGTTTTCTGTCAGTTTCTCACAGTTGAATCTCTTCTTTAATAGGTCACAATTTGTCAAAGCTGTAGAGAGGGAGGGTGGCTCCAGGGATATCAAGTACATGGTTCTTCCCTGTGTGTGAAGGGAGAGCTGTGCACTTTAAGTGTTTAGCAAACATTTGCAGGTATCATGGACTCCTTGAAACCATAAATTTTTAGTAAATAGGGTTTAACCAAATCCATAAACTAAACTCAGGCTGGCTACTGCTTTCCTCCTAGTAAATCTCCTTCATACTCAGTGACATACCTGTCCCCCTTTCCTCTGGCAGGGCCGGATTGTGGCACCGCGAGGCTGCCGGGACTTTGGCTGGGACCCCTGCTTTCAGCCTGATGGATATGAGCAAACGTAAGGAGCCCAGTTTCTTGGGGTCAGGCTAGCCATGGCCTGTGTTGGGTCATCGCCCCACCCGTGTGCAGGCATGCGGATGTGGGTGGAGGCAGGCTCTGAGGGTGCCGTTCCAGCCGAAGGAAACTCTGCTGGGGAGGATGCAAGGAATCTGGGTGGCCCAGTCCACAGTGGAGGAGGCAGCCAGGCGTAGCTGGGAGACCTGGGCTTGGGCACCAGCTCACAGCAGAGTAGCTGTGTGACTTGAGTGGCTTCCCCTCTCTGATTTTGGCTTGTCATGCATATACTTGACAGTTTTGGGGTATGGTCTTCGTACTCCCCCCATCTAGTTTTGAAAGATATTAACACTTTTGCAGCCGTTGGTGGGCATCACATTAAACCCCCACAGTGCTGAGTGTTCTCAGTATTTCATACTGATTTCCTCATTTACATGGGACGGGTTGGCCATTATTGGAGTCAGGCTTTCCAGGCTGGAGGGGCCCTTAGGGAGCATAGCTTGAGGCCTCCCAATAGCCAGACAGGGCTGAGGGCAACATGAAAGAGCACTGCCCAAGAATGCTCTTTGGAGACAGAAATGTTCTGCATCTGCGCTATCCAGTCCAGTAGCAATTAGCCACAAGTGGCTGTGGAGCATTTAAATGTGGCTAGGGCGCCTGAGGAACCAGAATTCTTTTTATCCAGTTGTAATTGGTTTAAATTTAAATGACCACATATGTCTAAGGGCCACGTACTGGACAGCACAGATCTGAAGCCCACTGTTGGGGTGTGGGATTCTCACCTCACTGGAGTCCTGGCATGGAGGACAGGCCCCTGGCCAGCTGCCCCCCACCCCCCACAGCGCACTAGAGGAGACTGCTGTGTTTGCTGTCAGGCCCCACTGCTTCCTGTCAACAGATGACAAAGCTGATCAAACATGCAGCTCATCCCGGTCCCCAGCTTCCCTTAATGACTTGGGGACACTGGAGCAAGTTAATATCCTTCCACATTCATCAATACGGGTTTCAACCACAATAGGGGAATTTAAGACGTTCTGATTTTTACAAAATTAACTGGCTGCCAGGAGCTGGTGGCCCTGGGGGCTCTTTGAGCTTTAGGCCTTGAAATGGGGTTGAGAGTGTACACTCTGCCTGATCTGTCCTCCCTTAGGTATGCAGAGATGCCCAAAGCTGAGAAGAATGCCATCTCCCATCGCTCTCGGGCCCTGCGTGAGCTGCAGGAGTACTTTGGCAGCTTGACTTCTGGGACCGGTGATGAGCATGCTCGCCCAGGATCTGGGGAGGGCTAGCCTGCAAACTCCATCAGGCAGGCAACCCCTGCCTCCCCTCCCCCCACCAAATGTGTCCTTCAGGGTTACTACTTCCTGGGGGTGTTGAGATTTGACAGCCCCACCAGACCAGCCTCACCAGTCTGGAGAAGCAGGTGGCTCTGCTTGGAGGAACTTGGGCAAGAGACACCATTTTCTTACTCTTGGGTATTCAGTGGTCTCTCCTACAGCCTTCAGGCCTTAGATCTTGAAAGGACCTTGGGTGTTAAACGGGCCTTGGCAGGATTGAGGGTTTGGGGGAAAATCACATCAACAGTCTTAGTGTTTTTTAAATGTGGCAAATAAAAATTCTGAAAGACACTCTAAGATAAACTGGATGTATCTACTTTCAAACCTGCCCTGGGCAGGTGTCTGTCTCCTGAGTCCCTTTTGGCAGAAGCAAGAAACCTCAGGTGGTTGGGAGGGGCATTGTTGGGACAAGGGCAGCTGTGTCCAGGGTGTTCACATGCCGTTGCTAACTGAAGTGTTACATGTTTCCTTTTGTTCTTCAAGTCTTAGATCAAGGGCTGACCTTTTCCATGCCACATCTATGTTGCTCACCCACCCAGCTGGTCTCCATGGTGTTTGCTGGGGTGGGGCTAGGCTGAGAGGATGTCTAGTGCTTTTGCTTTGTGGGGTTATACATTAGAGCAGCTTAAATATTGGCTTATGATTATAATGCCAAGTTCATTTTTACAGCAGGGACAGGGATGGTGTCCTTGACCCCAGTTGGGTTGACATGCCCTATTCAGCCTGGGCCTCCAAGCGCCTCAGGAGGCCTGGCTCAGCGGCCCCAGACCCTCACTGTGCCCTAGTGAAGCCATTCTCTGGGAGGGACTTGGGGGACCAGGGATGTCTCCCTTGTCTTTCCTGCAGGTGTTTGGTGAGGAGGAGGTGTCCAACCCTGAGGATGTTCAGAAAAGTCTGCTGTGAGCAGCAGGCCAGGGTAGGAGCAGGGGGGCCACAGGCAGTGTCCTTAGTGCTGGTGGGTCACTCCCAGGCTGTGGCTTCTGCTCACAGCCAGCCCTGGAGAATATCCCCTCCAGGCCCTGTTCTTCAGTTCTGACAGTATGGCCTGGGGTCTGGGTTTAACCCTTGTTTCTTCCCCTTGTGCCTGTTGCTGAGGCTTTTACATTGACCTTTTGCCCCCATCTTGCCTGCAAGGCCCCGCTGGGTTGTTTCCCCAGGAAGTGCCAGTGGCAGAACTCCTCCGAGCTGTCTCCTTGGTGGCAGGTGATGTTCAACTGGGGCTGATATGGGTGCTGGGGGCCTGCCTGCTCCTCACCTGGTGATTCTGGACATGACCCCACCGTCAGGGGATACCCAGGCTACTGGGGAGGGGGCCCCAAAGGCTCATGTACCATGTGGGTTGGGCAGGGATGCAGTTTGGTACAAGGCACCCCTATATGTTACTTGGCTGCTTCCCAGAGTTCTGTCCTGGCACACAGTACACTTTCTGTCCCCCTTTTAACTTTAGCGACTCATTCCCCACAAACAGCATTGCTCGGGTAGAGGGTGAGGTGTCTTGATTGTGCCAGTCTCCACTCCCTGTATCAGTGCACAAGGGCCCCCCCATCTCCCACTCAGTCATCCATACATCCTTCTGATTTTTGCCAGTCTACCAAGCAGAAGGTGCCCCCTTGCTGTTGGGTTGCATTTCTCATTTCTGAGGTATTTGAGCATCTACAGCCATCCCTGTTACCATTTGGGGCCCCCTTCCCGTTCACAGCCTTTGCCTCTTTTCTATCAGTCACCGTCTTTGTGTTGGTTTGCAAGAATGCTTTGTATATCTAGATCTTAGTCCTGTTTTGGTTTTAGATGTAGCAAATGTCTTCTCGTCTGTTCCCTTGGTCTTTGGTGTATCTGTCAAATCAAAGTTCTAAAAGGTGATACGATGGAGTGTCTGCGAACCAGGTGCTCTGCCTCCCACTGCTGCTGCTCCCAAGTACATACAGATCTGTGGTCCCTGCTTCCCACTGCCACTGCCATGGACCCTGGCCAACCACCAAATGACCAAGCCAGAAACATGGCACCTTCTCCCCTCCATCAAACCAATCCCCACCATCTGGTTTCTTCTACTTCCCTTCATCCCCACCAGCACTGTCCTGGTGCAGGATGTAGCCCCTGCCCCACCCCACACCCTGTACCTATAAATTCTAGAATCTACCCAGCAGACCAGGTAGTTCAAAACTGCCAGTTTGACCCACACATGCCTGTTTTCAATCTCAGATCAGGCTGAGAGCTAGGGCCCTTTGCTGTCAGCCCTGCTGATCTCCCCACACCAGTCATTCTCTTCACTGACCCCAAGCCCTCTCCTCAGGGTCCTTGCACATTCTGTTCCCAGACACTTCCCCTGGATCTTCCACGTCTCCCTGCTGGGCCAGCATCTACTGTGCGGAGTTGGAGATGACAGCACACAAAAGGCACTCAACACACATGAATCCCTTTAATCCCCTGCCCTAGGGCCCTCAGGTGGCCTTCAGAAGCTGGGGCAAGGCTACCAGGATGGAGATAGCACATAGAAGCATTGAAACAGGAGCTTTATTCTCTAATGTGCATACAACAAATTCCTTACACAATCAAGGAAATGGTTTCTCTTTCAGGCATCTCTTTTATCAAAAGAAAATCCATCCTGCTTAGTCCCACCCTGGGCAGAAACTGCCCTGAGCAGTGTTTTGACCCAAAGCAAAAGGCAATGGGAAGTGCAGGCACACACCACGGAACCCCCACAATGCACAGACGCCCTAGGCCTGTTGGGACAGCTGTGGGGGGGCGCAGCATAGAGCAGCACTCCAAGACACCCACTCCTCCCCATGCAAAGCCACAGCCAGGCTAGGAAGACCAGGAGGGACCAATGAACGGGGTACGGCCAGGGCCTGCCAGTCAGTGGCTCAGTGCTCAGCATCCATGGCGTCCAAGTATTTGGCTTCAATGATTCGGGGCAGCAGCTTGTAGCTGGCGGGAGGGGAGGGGACAGGTAGAAAGATGATGAATATTGAGTCAGGGAGAAGGCAGAGGGTAACCATCCCAGCACCCCCGCCTCTTCCACCCTGCTGGCCCCACCTGCCCTCTGCCCACCCTCCCCTACCGGATGGGTATCATGACAATCATGATGAGGGGGAAGATCATCTTCATGTAGGGCAGGGGACTCATGCCAAAGGCACAGAGCAGCAGCAGCTGCAGGACCTGCAGGCCGGTGAAGTAGTGTATCTTCCTCTGAGGCACCCTCCGGATATAATGGGTGGGTGGGTACGAGGCCTGTGGGCGGTAGGGACCAGGTGTGGGCAGGTCTGGTGCTGCTTTATCTCCCTCCCACACCCCTCGCTCAGGGCCAGATGCTCACCTGGTCCTTGAGCAGCAGGGCCAAACGCTCAAAGAGCTGGTTGGCGTCAATGGAGGTGAGGGCAATGTAGAGAAAGAGGCTGTAGAGCACGGGCTTGGGGATCCACTGCAGCGGGAAGGGCAGCAACAGGAGGGAGAAGCCCACTAGGATGCTGGAGCCCAGGGTGGTCAGCCGCGTCTCCTTCACCTTCATGATCCTGCATGGCCCAGAGCACTGGATCACCTCCAGCCCGTCCACGGGGCTATGCCCCATCTCCGGTCATGTGGCTCCTGGGCCAGGGCACTTCAGGGCCACATCCCTCCCAGGGCTACCCCACCTTAGGGCCCACACGATTCTTGCCTCAGGCCTCAAGGTGCCACTCTCACACTCACGTCTCATAAATGTGCCCATTTTCCACACGCTCCTCCACCAGAGCCAGTGCCCGCACATGCAATGGGGAGTGGGGGTAGGCAGCATGGATCCAGGGCATCCCAAACAGAGACAGCCCCGTGTTGATGATGGCAATGAGCAGGAGGTCCCAGTGGTAGGCTGTGCCCTTCACTAGTCTGCAGCAGACAGGCAGGGACATGTGGATAGAGCCCCTCTGGCTCCTTGGAGGGTGGGGCACCCTGCTCAGCCCTCCCTACCCAGCCCTGTGCACCTGTTCTCTGGTGAGTTAGTCAAGGCAGCTACCAGGTTCTGCTCGATGAAAAAAAGCATGGAGAGCAGGAAGCCGAGGCCCATGGCACTGGCGATGGCCCTCAGGGACAGCGAGTGCATCTCAGCTATCTTAAACAGGCTGTTACTGGGGTTGTAGTGGAATTTGCTCACTGCAGCAAGATATAGACCCCTGCTCCAGTCTGAAGCTACATGGGAGCACCCCACCCCACCCCCATTCTGGTCCAGTCCCAACTCACTCTTAATTTCCTGGAAGCAATAGGAGGAAATGAGGGAGAAGGTGAGTACGGAGATGGGCAGGGCACAGTCTGACAGGATCTCCCGCATGTAGGGGTGCAGGTAGGGGCTGGGGACACAGGTGGGTGTATCAGCATGGTCCAGGGGCTTGTGTCCCCTTCCCCTACCCTCCAGGCTGCCCCCTTACCTCTTCCTGAACTGGTAGAGGGTGTAGCCCAGCCAGAGCGTGCCCAGCATGATAAAGAGGCTGAGCACGGCAGTATCCCGTCTTGGGTGCTCAGTGGCAGAGCCACCGCCCACTGAGGGCGGGCTGGCCAGGAGGCTGGTGTTGAGGGCAGTGTGCAGGCTGGTGTTGAGGCTGGTGCCTAGGTTCAGCAGGTTCACCACGGAATTTTCACCTAAGCTGTGGTTCCCATAGTAGTACTTCTGGAAGACTGTGGATACAGGCCAACAGGCCTCAGCCATCTGGGTTTTGGGAGACTGGGGCCCAGCTTCCTCTCGGATGGGGGCTGGAGGGGCCCTGACGGGAGAAGGGGCATCTGGGAGGAGTGGGAGGAAGCTGGCCTCCATCAGCTAGGACCCATCTACCACCACTCCCACCCTATACCGTTGCCCCTCTGCCCTGTCTGATAGCATATCACGCCTCTGATCCTGCCTGGGGCAGCTCTGTCACCCTCCAGCACATGACGCTGCTGCTCCCCAGAGCACCCTGGAGCATGAGAATGACTTTAGCTGGCATGCTACTTGACTGCCCTGGCCACAGCCCATAAACCCCATCTTCACTCAGACCCCTCTGCAGCAAGTGGCCACTGGCTAAATACTCACTTTTGACCATGCCCTTGACAGCATCCAGCATGAATGTGATGGAAATGAACAAGGCAATGATCTCTTCAGTTGACCTGCCAGGGGATGATATGCCCCATGAGATGAGGGTGAGCTGTTGTCGGGGGGAGGCCTCCCTGAGCCTCGGAGTGGCCCCCCGCCTCCTGCTGCCATGAAGAGAACCAGTCCCAGGTTGTCCCCTTGGGGATATCTCATCCCTTCTAGGGTTAAGGACCTCAGAGGCTAGCATGGAGGCTGACCCAGATCC